GGGCTCTGCCCTCTTGAAGGTCCCATGTCTCAAAACTGTTGCACTGGCAAGTAAGCTTCCAACACATTCAGACCAAAGAAGAGTCCTCAGATCCACCCAGAGATGCCCACTGTGAAGTGGGCAGATACGTCTCATTTAACCCTTTGTTGTGACTTGCTGGCACCTGTTCCTAGAGCCCATGACCCTGACCATTTGACATGCATTTGAAGTCCTTACCAGTGGCATCCTCTTTATTGTGATTCTAGATGTGGCAGACAGGAAGAGACAGAAAGTGTGACAGTTTGGGGTTCATTTTAGATGTGCTACCCAGGAAGACTACCCAGAAGGACTTGTCAAGAAAAGGGTGAGTCAGCAGCTTCCTAGGAGCAGAGGGAGGAGACAGAAATGGTTGAGGTAAAGAGATACAACCCTGCATTTCTAGCACCATGACCAGAATGGAAGCAATACTTGATTTCCTGACTGTTCAAGGGCATATGCTCTATGTGACATGAGGGGTAAAAAGAAAGGGTTCAATTGTTAAAATTCAGCAGTCATTGGAGTTGAGCATCATGGCTTACTCGGTTCCTGGGGAGGAGAGGTGTGCTCGCCTGCCAGGCTTGCATTGCACAACTAGCATTTCCTGGTCTCTCTGCCCACTAAGAAAGAGCTAGAAGAAGAAAGGAAAACTGCAGCATTCAGAAAGTGGAAACATTTACGGAAGCAGAGATTTTACTATGTCCTCCAAAGAAAAAATTGGTAGACTGAAAATAGCTGCCAATGTCCGCCACGTGAATTAGCAAGAACCACCCCAATTAAATAGAGAAATAGTTCAATGGTGATTCCAAACATACATATTACATCAAATGTGTTCATATAAATTTTAAGTAGTCTGCTCTCCAGAAGGCACTAAGGGTTGCTTTGTACAGCACAAGAAATGGCCCTGAATGCCAAAAAGTTCTTTCAAAAACCACAAAACTACTTGATATACAGCTTATCTGAGAAAGATTCCCACAAGGTATAAACTGAATTCCTTAAACACGCTGCCAATAGATGAAGCAAAATAGTGGTTTAATAAATGCTGCATTCTTTTCTATAAAAGTATATCCAAAAGAAAAAAGTTGGAAATTAAAGATGTTATATTAAAATATGCCATTGTAAGTTGAAACATTTTCGCATTAAATTAAAGAAATTCTCATATTCAGAGAAAGAAGTATGTGAGATATTATCCATAAAGTGGCTGATATGGCATTTTGAATTTTAAAATTGCGTATAAAGAAAACAAGTTATTTTAACTTCAAAATGACTATTCTTAAAATTAAGCCCACCTTATACACAGAAGACTTGGAAATTTAGGGCCCATCAACAAAAAGGGAAAAGTAGATTTATTCAATCAGTCCACTGGTTGCATTTGATTATTTTACAAAAATTTAAAAATCATTAAGAATTGAGGTTGTCTTTTAAAAAATCATTCCTGCAAATGTGTGTAGAATTGTGATGCTATCATACTACCTAACTTCAAACTATACTACAAGGCTACAGTAAGCAAAACAGCATGGTACTGGTACGAAAACAAATATATAAACCAATGGAACAGAACAGAGGCCTCAGAAATAACACCACACATCTACAACCATCTGATCTTCGACAAACCTGACAAAAACAAGAAATGGGGAAGGATTCCCTATTTAATAAATGGTGCTGGGAAAACTGGGTAACATATGTAGAAAGCTGAAACTGGATCCCTTCCTTACACCTTATACAAAAATTAATTCAAGATGGATTAAAGACTTAAATGTAAGACCTAAAACTATAAAATCCCTAGAAGAAAACCTAGACAATACCATTCAGGACACAGGCATGGGCAAAGACTGAAACACCAAAAGCAATGGCAACAAAAGCCAAAATAGACAAACAGGATCAATTAAACTAAATGGCTTCTGCACAGCAAAAGAAACTACCATCAGAGTGAATAGGCAACCTACAGAATGGGAGAAAATTTTTGCAATCTACCCATCTGACAAAGGAGTAATATCCAGAATCGACAAAGAACTTAAACAAATTTACAAGAAAAAAACAAAACCCCATCAAAAAGTGGGCAAAGGATATGAACAGACAATTCTCAAAAGAAGAATTTATGCAGCCAACAGACACATGAAAAAATGCTCATCATCACTGGTCATTAGAGAAACGCAAATCAAAACCACAATGAGATACCATCTCAC